GCAGATCCTCGAGTTATGAACTGACCCCCAAAAAACTTTCGGGGGCCCGTACGCGGGTACCACGCGGGTTTTGGCACCAATTTTGGGGATGGGGGCCCGTACGTGCATGTAGGTCATACCCCCCGAAGTTTCAGCCCCGTAGCTTTTGCCGGTCTCGAGATGAAAAATCGGTACAGACGAACACATAGACACACAGACGCACAGACACACACACACACAGACACCCTCTCGTCAATATGCGTTTTCTGCATTGCATAGCTGCAAAAAACGCATAAAAAGTAAATAGCAACGCGCATCAGACTAGCCGGTGCGATCATGCGTTTTGTGCAATTCAGCCAAACGAACGATTGCCTATTAATGATTTTCGCTGCTTTGTACTTTATTCTATGCAAAAATAGTTCAAACATTGGAAAACAGTTAAAAATTTCGCGCATCAGCACATGAAAGCTGAATTCGAAACCTTGAAGGATGAATATCTTTCCGTGATTCCCGAGCTAATAGTTTACTCGCCAAAATTTTCACGAGGTCGTAGGTGGTACCCGAGAGCGTGAGAACGCTGAATTTGAATGGGCAAGGTTGAGCGGGGGCAGGGGGTCATTCTCCTAAAATTTCACCCTTCTAGAGTCCGTGGTTCTCGAGATATTAACCTACCCGTAAAAAACTTTTAAGGGGCCGTGCATGTTACTCGCGGGTACGGGAAGGCTGAATTTGAATGGGCAAGGTTGAGCGTGGGCAGAGGGTCATTACTCTAAAATTTCAGCCTTCTAGACTCCATGGTTCCCGAGATTTTAACTTACCCTTAAAAAATTTTCGCGGGGCTTCCCAGTGCTCGTTTGCTGCTGTAGCTCGGTTACTGTTTAGCGGCTCACTTTCTGTCCATTATCCAACATTTTTCATGTGTACTTACACTGTTTTATGGCTAAACGAATTTGCGTTCGGGGAATGGGGCCGGCCAGGCACTGATTTGTATTTTTGAAAGTTTGTCGTTGCCAGGCTGATGCCATTTTTAGGTTGAGAAATATTTGGAAGAGACCATGGATCGTGTTGTTTCTGCTTTGGATATACCTGTTCCACTTGCCAAACTTCTCCTGCAACTGTATAAATGGGATTATATCACAGTACTTGATTTATATTGTGCTGATTCCGAGAAGCTTCTGGTCGGTAAGTGACTGTTGAGCGGCAGAAGAGCATTTTTATGCACCTTTATATCATTCAGTGAGTCATGCAGCAGCTTTTCCTGAAAGTCAAGTAAAATCTTTTTCTGTGATCACTCGGGAAGATTGGGGATTGGTACATTTTGCATCCATCTCATTGCTGTAAAAGATGAGACAGGATATTAAGAGACTGTTTTGTTTATTAAATAGGAGACGAAAGGACAAATTAGAATGGAATGAGACCGTGGTGGTGAGGGGGTAGGTAAAAAAGCGGTATGGCCCACTGTTCTGAAGGCCATGCTTACCCGAAGGCTGGGTTTGAGCTCATTAATACCTACTTTGTTGATTTGGCGAAAGCGGTCTGAAGATAGCACTGAACGCAGCGCATATGGAGAAGTGCTTGCTGAAACAGGTTCTTAGATGTCTACGGATTGGCAGCAACAAAAAAAAGAGCTTCTGCATTGATGGGGAGCGAACAAAGCCTGAAGTGGAGTTGAAGGAGTTTGTTTCTGATGCAGACTGCAACATACATGCCGGTTCATCGAAACAGCCATTGGACGACAGGTCATCATGCACTGTATGTATGGAATCATTGGCAAATTGCAGTAATATGTATGCAACTAACTGTGGACATAGTTTTTGTTCAACTTGCTGGTTGGCCCATATCAGCACACAGGTCCAGGATAGCGGTATTGCGACCACGTCGGTTTTTTTTTTTTTTTTTTTTTTTTTTTTAAA